AAAGACATCTCCAAGCAGCAAAAACAATGAGAAAGTATCTGAAGGAATCAGTGACCTCACTTTCGTCGATTCGGGGAATTCCAAGAAAACAAATCCATCCCTAGATCAGAATCCACTTATACAAAACAATCCCAGTAATTTGGCACCAACTCATGAATTTTTCATGAATAGGTTTATTGCCAGCCATGAAAGCTCTACCACTGATATTAAGCCTTCTGATTTATGTGAGTACGTCTCCTTTCAGCAATTGAATTATAGTTCTAACAATATAGGACTGTCAATGAATCCCAACTCATCAAATTTCTTCTTCAATTCAAACTCCAAGTCTTCAGAAATAGAATCTGGCTTCAATTCTTGTGTAACAAATACTGTTCTTCCTTCCCTACCAAGCTCATTTCTTTCGTTTTCTACTCGTATGAAGTCTTCGACGAGTCTTCCTCCTGATAGTCCTATAGGCCATTTAAGTACAAAATTCCAGAATTGGGATGGCTGCAGCCTTGGTAACAATGGAAGTACAAGCAATGTAAGCCGTGGTAATTGCAGCATCTTCGAAAATAATGCCTTTCCATGGGGAGCCACAGACTGCGTAAAACCCGAAAAACAAGCCAATGTTCCTTCATCAGAACATGAAATTCCAGAAGATATAAAGTGGTCAGAATATCTTCACACTCCGTTCATACTAGGAAATACTATTCAGAATCAAAGTGCTCAAGATTTATACGGCGAGACGAAATCACAAACACAATTTGCAACAGAAGGTCCATTAAGTACTACTCCCAATTGGCATCCAAATCAGCAACAGCAAAATTTACAAGCTGCAGAAATATATAGCAAGCATTTTCAGAGGCTTCCTACCACCTTTGGACAATTTGCTTAGCTTATCATCAAGTCTCCTTCTATTAATTCAAGCAGGTGTGCGCTATATAAAGCCTTCTTTTCTTAATCTGTAAATAGGGACTGATACCAATATTTTTCCACAGAAAAACTCCGTTTCGTATTTCAATATATTTGCTCGTGTTTTGTGTAAGATTTATCATTTATGCTAGAATATATAAGTGTTTTTTTCTCAATTTATTCTTATGAATTTAATTACAGCTTGTAAAATTATGCGTTCATTGTTTGAGCGGTCTTTTTTTTTTCTTTTTTACCGTTGTTAACCTCCTGAATCTCTCCAAGTTCCTCCCGTAAAATTCCTTTCAAGATAGTGACTATCTGTAACCTGTCTGCAACTTTTTGGGTTTTGTGAAATGGTTTTACTGAACTTTTAACGCTAATTCAAAGATTCATGGAACCATTTCCCTTAAATGGGCGTCTATCACTGTCTCCTATGGATTGAGATAGTTTTCACTTTTCACAGTGTTTTAAGTCACCTGTCCTTTCCTTAGGCCAAATATTCATCAAGATAATAATCATACTTGTCTCCTAAGATTTACATTCGAATGCCTAGTGACGTGTACATACACACAGCCGTACGTTACAACTCAAAATTCGAAAAATCCCACAATAGTCAAGTTGAAAATTCGATGTCGTACTAACGTAATCTTGATAAGAATCACCCGCGAATAAGAATTTGCCAAATAAACCCTAAGCTGATCCGAATTATCTGTCTAATTATCGTGTGAAATGAAATAAAGGACCAAAATGGATGCAACTTTTTTGTGTGTGGACACCAATGACACAGCTTCTGGGTTATGACTTTTACTACTTTAGGAGGGAACAGAAGAATATGGTCCCCTATACATATTGATGTTGATACTTTTATGGGTTACACAGATGAAAATTCTATGTTTTTTGGCACATAAAAGGTGTGCTTGAGAGGGGAAGACGTTACATTAAGAGAATTGTGCTAACCCCAACCCTACCCGCCACCCCCACGCTCCATCTTCTGTTTCTTTCTCAACTTTTTCACTTTTCCTACATAAAGAACCAAAGTAGTTCCTTCTCTAACAACGACACACAACATAGAAATTTGACCAACCTGCATGTGATGGAGTCAATGTCAATCAATTATTTTGGGATAAGACTTTTCTCAACACACTAATCCCAGTAGACGCTCGTCGCGCTAATCCTAATAGACACTCGTTATTCATGTACCAATATCGGAGATAGAAGGTAAGATACGACTAATTTAAAGATAGCAGTATGTCATTTCTACCTGCCAGTATGAATACAATTTCAATAATGAAAAGTTGATTTAAAGAATCGGCCCATCAAAATACATGAATTAAATCACAAGAGCCCTACGTGGGGTGGGGTGGGGTGGGGTATTAAAATCAGTCTCTTGTATGTGCCCACGTGCACACACGAGAATGAATACTTCACAAATATAATTGAAAATGGTTTATTTCTCCTTCTCTTGAAAGTATAGGTAATATGTGTGTAACTTAAAATATATAGTTGTCGCTATGGCGGCATGTGATTCAAATTATTGAGTGCCTTTTCATGGCCCTACAATCTTCTTCTAATCAAAACGAAACAAAAATAGAGGAATTGAATTGGCAGCCTTTCTTGAATAGTTTTGAATATGAAAAGAGATTGTCATACGAAAATTTTCGTTTACAATTCACAGTGTATTGAGATTTTAAAAAAAAAAAAAGGAAAATTTGAAAGTGATCGAATTTGTCCCCTCATTTTTAAGTGAGTCACTCGAATTCATTTTGTCAAAACCGACACGTAATATTTTATGACAAGTTAACAAAGTTGAATGAGATATATGACTGCATCGAAACAAAAGTACAAACTATGTAACCTTTGGAATCTTTTAATCTAGTGTCGTGTCATACCATGTAAGAATTTCATCAGAGATGTCACAATTTCATGACTCATAGCTTATTGTGTATCTCTATTGTTATAAAAGAAATACTTGCGTGTTAGTTTCGTATTAATTTATTCTCCAAATAAAGTTGGGAAAAATGGAACTAGTTTAAATTAGCGAATGAATGAATATAGGAAAAGTTTCAGTTACAATTCATCAGTACTAAGTCCCCAAATTTGTGCCCTCATTTTTAAGCATGTCACATTGTTAAGAAAAAAGTTTCAACGGACAGTCCTATATGCATATCTGGTAGAACTGTCCATTTAAATCATGACACTTCATACCTCAAACCACTCGTATCACAACACCTTGACGTCTGAGGTGGTGTGTGTGTGTGTGTGTGTGTGTACACGACACCAAGGCATTGTGATTTGAATGGCTCGAGATCCGATATGTCATGATTTAATAGGTCCTACAATATATACATATAGAACCGTCCTACCAAAGCTTCACTTGTTTATTACAATTAACTCATGTTTATTTGATGACAAACTAATAAAGTTGAATGGTATAATTGAATCGAAATATAAATTGTGTCACCTTCGGAGTTTTTTTAACCTAGTGTAACATGCCACGTACGAATTATATATACTTTCAAAGATGTCAGAATTTCATGACTCGTGTCTTACTGTCTCTTCATCGTTCCAAAATCAATACTTACGTGTCGGTCTCATATTAATTTACTTTCTAATAAAGTCGGGAAAATGGAGCGTAGATTAAATGAGCAAATGAACAAATATAGGAAAATTTTCAATCACAATTCATACTGTATTGATATTAAAATAAAAAAATAAAAATTGATGTCCCCAAATTTGCGTCCCCATTTTTAAGTTATACGTGAAGATGACGATTAGATGATATAAGGATGACGGTAACAAGGATAACGCAGGAGATTAAGCCCCCGTTTGTTTTGATACAAAGACTTTTTGTAGATTTTAATAAAAATTGATGAAACGTTTAAAAAGTTTATAAAAAAAAATTATGAATCCTTTGAAATGTATGGTTACGAATAAATTCGAAAAAGAATAAATATTTTAAGAAATTGGACCAAACGGGGGGTAAGAAACTTGCAAAACTCTAATGTAAAAAGACTATTGTACACAGCTCAAATGTACTCTTTTCACATAAACTAATAAGTTATTTGTCAAAAGTCAGACTTTTAGAGGGGTATACTTGGAAAAATTTTAAGTACAAAGGAAAAGAAAATTATTTCAAGTACACTTCAATTATTGATTAAAAGTAACAAGAAGACAATAAGCATCGAACTGGCTAATCCATTGCCAAGAGTAATAAACAAAATTAAGCCATTTATTTAGAACTGTGAAAAGATTCTGGGAGGCTGCTAACAGAAGAGAACAGGAACAAGGACTTTAATCCCCCAAATAATCCTCAATAATATCATTTTGTTATCCTTAAAAGATTCTCATAATATTTTTTCTGATTTTCAACCTTTTTTTTATAAGGTTGTGAACAGAGACATTGATTCCTCCATGGAAGACTTGTAATTGGACATTTGACTTTAGAGGGAATAATCTATAAACTATTGAGAGTACAACCATTATTAGCATAAAAATTAATTTGATTCCTTGTCTGAGGCATGCAGTATCACAGATAAAAACACAGAGCCGCCTAAGAAGACTCTGTCTACCTCTAATCATTTTTCAGTCTACTTGCACATATGCCAGAACGTCAAGACAATGTCAAATTTATATGGCATGGAAACCAATAAAAGAGATATACTAAGGCATGTTTGGTGCCTCAAAATTGACGAGAAAACATGATTAAAAAATGGAACATACGGTTCGAGTTCAACATACCAAACATGCCTTACCAGCATTCAGCAATACTGAATAAACAAGTGCACACATTTCGTAATCATTTGTCTCTCGAAGATATTCTGATGGCTCTATTTTATCGAACTTTTAATACAACACAGGGAGAAACAGCATATCAAAATAATTGAACTGTAGGCACCAGGCTGTAAATCTGATATCGGATTTTCCTATTTTTCCTTCTAGACAGTGTACATACGAAGTACATCAAAGACTCGAAAATTTCAGAGTGATTGTAGTATTATTTCCATCAATGTATGTTCTTACATTTCAAGTAAATGGTAGATGAAGATTGCTTATCATGATAATTAAATAAATTAGCTAAGAATAGAAGGCGAAAACTAAAACCTGATTCATCTGAAAACCAGGTTGTGACAAGTTTTGTCACACGGATATGCGCAACCAATGGCCTTAGTAGTTGCACGATCAAAGTACCAATCTCCGACAGCTATTGCTACAGCCTGCATCGTAGCATATATAGTTAACAACACGTGTTAATGAAAGAAATCAATAGCATAAACGACAGATAGACAGCGGAAGAGGTGATGGTTTATAGTTTCTAAAGTTGGCGTTGATTTTGAATAAGAAGACATGGCGAAGAAGGGCCGAGAAAAAGGATCCGTATCACAACTCTGAATGTGTTCTGCCTTACTTTTATGTTGGTTTACTCTCAGACAGCTTGTAAATGAATTCTGCATAAACATGAGTACGCATGACGTTCACATAATAAACTTTTCAGGTCTACGAATTGTTGAGATTACAAAAACTTGTTCTACGTTAGCATACGTGGGCCTTTCAATCACTAGAGCACGCCAAGAAATGCCATGTTAGTTAATCTTAGAAGTGGCCCGTATAACATTTGTTAATCTAAGGAAAAATACCTAACCAGAAAGGATTACTGCAATTATATTAACTTAAAGAGAACTACGCAAGTTACAACCTGTTTCTTGATAAGCAGGGCTGACAATATAGGAGTTTTTATACTTACTGCATGAAAACTTAAAGAAAATTTATACTTATGGTAATACCTTGTTCCCTATTACTGGAGAATTATCTGCAAACCAGGTATCCTGCCTCTCGGACTGGCAGTGAGCAAAGCACGAATTTATGAATAACCCATTTTGCCTTGATGCAGAAAAGCCTTTTACTGCATTCAGCATATGAGCCCTGAAACCTGCTCAACAACAGTTTTATTGATTTACTCGTTCTCATTAGATACGACAACAAGATTAAGAAATATCAAGCAGATACACACTCGCTCACCTTGCAGAAATCGGATTTGGGATACTGAACATCGTGCATAGTTCATTTTACAGTTATACCAATTACCCCGAGGATCAGCCATTTTAGGAGCCAAGCTTTCTTGGATCTGAATACAAAGTAAAAACAGATAAATCTACATTTGTTATTCATATTATTTGCAAGACTTCGGAAGACTTTAAATTCTTAAAAACACCGTCAATTTCTGATTTCAAATGTTTTCCTGAAGGTCCAGTCTTCCTCAGTATACATCCAATCTATAAGAATGGTAAGGGCCCACTGATTGGAACAGAAAAATCCGGAAATAAGCCCACCCTAAAACAATTGCTCTACTAATCGCACTTCCCCAGTTGTCAGTCATATTATTTTACAAGTACCTATTCTACACCACAGAAAGCTGTTAAATCTCTGCTTAATTTCCAAGAAATTTAAGTGCAGCTATAAACTGGAATAAACTATTACCTGCCATGAATCATAAGCAGCATTGAGAATAAACAGAGGAGTTCTGATGTTGGCGATTAAATTCTGAGGGAAGAAGCACTAAACACGAAAAAAGACAAAATCGTAAATGGAAAATTGCTAAACTAAAAAACATAGTAAGAATTACATATCTTCTGAATCAAAAACAACAAAAAATTAGTCTCACCGAAGTTGGATCGAGATGATTGGTACAAGTGCTTGGCAGATTCCTCTGGACACCCTATTAAAATTTGTGGGAACTTGTATGAGAACGCAGGAGAGTTATGCTAAGAAAGCTGGCAAGCATGTCAATGAAGAACCCAGCATAAATTTGATAGTGTCACTTTTCAAGTACAAATTGTCTTCAGAATTACAAACGTGTTGAGGAATACTGTTGGAAACTTGCAGGATAAAAGTATAGTTCAAAAGGAAAAACAAACTACATAGATGAACTTTGCGGTTCAGAGAAGGAAATGTTCAATTAGTATAGATACAAGGATTATTAGAAAGAGTGATATCAGGACCCTCCGACATTGTTTAGCCATGGATTTTGTGCTCCGTTGAATTTCAAAAACTGTTCGATTTCCTATTCATGTCACTTTTGGTTCAAAACCACAATCTACCATAGTTTACTTGCATCCTCTTATTTTGCTAGGAATGCAAAAACTTTACAGTTAATTCTTTACTTCAATACATAATAATTACTTTTCAGATGCTTTATTAAAATGCTTAATCATCCACCCAACCTGTCGCAAGTGTGTGGTATTCTCAAACACCAAAAACACATCAAAATAGCGGCATAACCTATCTATTGATTCTATTTCTGGTATCCGTCCTACACTCTCTGGTAACCTATCTATTGATTCTATCTCAAGCAAAACCTTTTGCGTGTTGGATGCGACACAGCTGCATCTTATTACTCAGAGAAGCAATTTACAGATATGGATAAGGAAGAAAGTAAAGGGCTATAAGTTCGCTAGAAATTTTGAAATATTGTAGTTCTTAGTTTAACTGATAGAAAATGCAAATACAAAGAAGAAAAAGAAAAATTCTGATAGCTAGTGTAATAAGAGAATGTCAACTTTCCACGAGCAGTACAGCATTTTATTGAAATTTGCCTAAGTATCAACAAATTTATCACTATTGAATTAGCACCCAAACTAACCAATAAAATTATTTGTAGGACTCTTAGAATGGGGAAACATGCCACTGAGGTACACAAGGAAAAAGATAAACAATATCTTTGATTCAATAAGTACCTGTAAGCTTACTACACCGGCGAAGAAATTTCTTATCGTGTGTCCACCGGACACATCAGTGCTGAAAATCAAAGGAAGCATTATAATAACAATAAAAGAGGTAATGGAGCATATAACTGCAAAGCTTAAACAGGGCATTACTAAAAAGACGAAAAATTGGAAAATTACGCATCCATAAATAATCCAGCATCGCTGAAGCACTTCACTTTGGTTCTTCTAGGAAATAGATCCCGAAACTCGTCACAGTGTAAGATAGAAGCTAGACCACCAGCAGAGCATCCAGAAAGCAGGGCCTAAAACATGGCACGTAGTATCAAAAGGAAATACAAAGCATGAACAGAAATATAGCGTGGGTACTAGATAAAACTTGATAACCTGATTTGCATATCGCATTCCTTTTGACATCAAGTCTTCCATTGCAGCTAGCCATATACGCTGTCCTCTGAACTGCAACCCTGCAGCCTACAAAAAATATAATAACGAGTTCTTTTCATTAGTATTCTTGAGTATCTTCAACTACTAGTTTAGTAGGTCTTTAGTCTCTACTAGTGTCGAAACTTGAATTTCATAACTAGTTTCCTTTAATTATTGATTGTATTTGAATACTATGGGACGTGGGCATGTTCGGTAGAGATTAAAATTGAAAAATTGGCCGTTATTGTTGACTTTTATTAGACGAGTGAGACCAATAACGAGAAAAATTAGTTTCAATTTTAATTGGATTTTAAGCACGATCGAACACGCCCTATATCTTTTTCTTACTACTTTGGAACGACATTCTTCTTAATTTTTTTCACAGACAAAGACAGAAGCATCACTTCACAGTCTTCCATAAATCGACCACCCAATAAAACTGAGGAGATTAAAGATAATAGTAGAAGAAGATTGATACCTGCATTATAGCTATTTGACTACAAATCATTTTATCAAAGAAGAAGTCTGTTTGGCAGCTTCAAAAACTTAATTTGACATCGTAGTAAAGAAATCTTAATAGTGCTTGAAAAATTAACCCAAGATAGATTAAAAGAAAATAAAATTCGGGGGATGCAATAAACCTTATTTTCACTGTCCCCAGAAAAGGAGGCACCATCACAGTACCGGATTTTTACTCTATTCCAGTTAAAGAAATCTGCATGTGGAAAATCAAATATAAAAATAATATTTGTAACGGGCAAGTTGAAACATGAGAAGACATGGTTTCAATGTTTCTAACAGAATTTGACCGAGTATCTTTGCAAACTGACCTGGATTTTCTTGAGCTTTATTGCTAAGTATCCCTGTAAATGGAATTATCTTCTCAAAATATGTCGAGGACCCACGGCGAGTAGTTTTCCGGTAAACACAGGCCCTGATGTTGTTACACCACCCTCCACCCTGCCACAAAGTGTCACAAGATAAAGTTTGTTGACTGAAAAAATAATTACTAAAGCTTGAAAGCTCTGCAGGACAGAGTATATAAACAAGTATGGTATACAACTTTATTGAGAATTTGAGATAGGAAAAACTTCAATGAGACTCCATTCAAGAAATTGATTCAACTTATTTTTGGTAGATTTCGTGAAGGACTTTTTCTAACAGAATCATCGTAAAAGGAGAAATCAGTCGATGAAATGTTACACGGCTCTGAATAAGTTAAATTGTTTTGTTCAATCATTACTTTTAAACTTCTTAGAAGTTAGATAGAGAACTGCAATTGCTCTTCATAGTTTCTTAAATGATCGATATGTGCAATTAAATTCAAGTTTGCTTCCAAAAAGTAAAATTAGCATGAACTTTTGCCAGGGAAAAAAAATAAATCTGTAACTAAATGTAGCTCAGTTTATTTGAAATCAATTGAATTATTGAGAATTTTAATTTCTACTGGCTTCACGATTTCAAATCAACTTCCTTTTTAATAAGTAGAAACAAGTTCGCAAATTAAAGATATATTAAAATAATCTAAAAATCTGTTGAAGCGGACCATCTACTGGTGAGATTTAAGAACCAAATAATTTCAACCTAACGTCCATATTTTATGTTCCGTATATATAATGAAATCCCTGTCTAATATTCACCAAAATAAAGGATTCTGAAAGCGAACAAAAGCAACCAAGTAAATGCTATCATTCACATAATTGTCTCACAAACCTCCAGTTGGATGAGCCAGCTGTTTGCTCCTGTCCCGAACCCGCGATGGAAGTGATAGCCAGGTAATGTTCCATCCAAACATACTGCAAAAAAGTATCAGAAAAGAGACATCAAAATTAAAGAACCAATGAATGTTAATTCAACTGTCAACGTATGTATCTACGAGTATTTGCCAATTGCCAAGAACAATTGAATTGTGGGGTAGTTCTCCTGGATAAATTCTATGATCCAAAACCTTGAAATTTTTCCAGTGAAAGATAAATTTACCTACAATGACTATTGGCTAACAATACTGATTGATAAGATTAATTTAGCCCATCTTTGACATCCATTCTATTTCTCTTTTTTTTTCTCTTTCTTTATTTCAACCACACATTCTATCAATAAAATAATATTACTCATAAACCTAAAAATTCTCCATACTTTTTAACCATACATTCTTCCATCAATCACTATTCCAAAATCTATTCTTTCCCAAAAATGGGTGCCAAACACAAGCTTAAATTAGTACACCTGTATAGAAGTAGACATGAAAGATGCAGAGTAACAGCATAGCAACACAACAAAGCATCTCAATCAAGCCATTGAATAATTACACATTAAACAGGAGGGAAATTGACATACAGAAAGTAGCAAAGTTAATTATATAACACAAAAATAAAAAATAAATCATTTAAAACAAGAAAATTGGAAGACAAATACAAGGTTTAAATTCCAGTACAACCATAAAAATGGGAAAAAGAATCATGAGTGGATTGGAAAATTCCCAAACTAGATTACATAACATACAGAGGAGCATTAGTCAAATTAAAACAATAAATTTAGTATAATGACACTAAAAAATGGGGAGAAAAACTAAAATGCAAGAATCTAGAGATAGATTTGGATTAATACCAGCGCCTTTAGCAGCAGCTCCTTGAATAAGTGTAAGAGGCACCGTGAGAGCATAAGGAGGGGCAGCTGCAGCTGAAACTCCATACACGGACTCCAACAAGGACATGGATTCCAAGAATGAAACTTCTGTTCTATTATCGAAAAGCTCATCAAATTCAAAGCTTTTAACAACCCATTTGCTTAGGAAAAAACCAAAAAATATTACACCCCAAAAACCCATAAACTTGCCCATGGCCTCTCAGTTTCAAGCTCCTCCGCCAAATCTAGGCGAAAAAATCAAATCAAGACAACAAGAAGTTGTGTAAAGTAAAATATTATTATTTATTCTCACATGGATGCATGGGAAGAATGCTTATAGACTGTTGGTGTATTAAATGGCAATTAATAAAAGATCTAATTTAATTATCAAAATAAGGGAAAGATTTACAAAATTTAACAAATATGGAGTAGGGGACACAGATTTTGTAAATCTGGTTATGCTTGGGAATAGAGATTCCTTGAAGGAGGCTTTGGGTTTTTATATTTTTTATTTGAAGATCTGAGGTGATTAAGTGATTTCACTCTCTGGAGATGAAGTGGTGAACAGTGGGGTGTGTTTTGCCGGGCATTTTAAAGATTTTAATATTTGCATGCCTTGTATTTTGGGGTTTTGGCGTGGGGTGGGGCTGGAGGTCGAGATTCGTGTACTCTCAATTATTATTACAAGTTGAAAAGGTAGACCTTGAGCATTTTTGTCTTGTTTCATGAAGAGCATGTCTGGGCTTCATTTTTATTTCAACATTATTTTTTTTATTATTATTTTTCTACTCATTTTTGACCACGCATTTTTTAATAAAATAATATTTTTATCACATCAATAACTTTTCATTCTTTTTCAACCACATATTCTCCATCACATCAACGATAAAAATATATTTTTTTTCGGGTAATTGGCGCAAAACGTCCCTACCTTTGCCTGTCCTTGTGAAAAACGTCCCTACCTTTCGTTTCTTGGCGCGGGACGTCCCTACCTTTCACTTTTTTTGCGCAAAACGTCCTTTTTCTTAATTTTTAACATAAAATGACCATTATACCCTCCAATATAAATAAAATAAAACAAAAGAAAAGAAAAATAAAGAATGAATTTTAACTATATGCCCAAACTTTTTAAAAGTGTAAATCAGTCCAAAAGAATATTTAATTTCACGCAACATCACAAACGTCCCTAAATTCTCTCCCTCCATTCTCTCCCTACAACCCGTCAGCCTCCATCCAATCGGCAACCTCCATCCATTCTCTCTACACCGCCCACCGTCTTCGCCCCCACAACCTCTCACGACAAAACCCATTTCTTTGCATTCGGGTAAAACTCACTGGACATAATTTTCAGTCAAGGAGCTGGAATTTCTTTGCTTTCTGGTAAAACCCATTTCGGCAATTACCATTGCCATTGTTCATATTATCACAAATAGAATCAGAAACTCTTACATCAGCACCGTTCGGATGTAAATCTGCGCCACTGAACATAATTTTCAGTTGAGATAGGTGAGGGTGGAGTCGGGAAGCTTGTCCCCGACGGAGATGGTGGCTGAGATTTTTGGTATTGCAGTGGTGGAGAATTTCAAGGGTTTTGTGTGGTGGAATTTAAGGGGAAATGGGGTAAAGACGGCAGAATAGGAGAATAGGGAATTTGGTTTGTTGTGTGGAGAGAGGAGAGAGGGGTTGCTTGATTTTAGGGGAAGAAGGAAGTTTTGTAAGGGTGAATGAGGCACTTGTCCCGGCGGCTGCCATTGCTGCAGTTTCTTCTGTGTTTGTGAAGAGTAGAAGAGACCGACGTCTGTTTTGGTTGAGTAAAATTTGTGTTGATTTTGGGGATGAATTTTGGATTTTTGGATGGTGCTGGATTGCCGGGGATATGGGCGGATAAAATGAAGGTCCGAAATCGGAGGTTCCAAGAGCTGAAAATGGCTAGCTGAAAATTTGTGATTCTTGCTTTATGTATTTCTGATTTCATTTGGGTTTGTTATCACTCCCGGAGTCGAGGATTACATAACGTAAAATGGAGACCAGCAATATAAATTAACAATTCACTGCCTTCTCATCACAATTCACAACCATCCACTGCCTTTATGGATTACAACCATAAAATGGAGACCAGCAATATAAAAATGGAGACCGTCTCAGTTTATAGATCCACTGCCTTCTCATCACAATTCACAACCATCCATTCCACACTCCGTTTTCGACTTCATCACCAACAGGGAAATGATGGATTGAGGATGATGCTAGTCAAAGTGTGGACACATGCCAATGCCGCTAATTCAGGAGGGTGGAGAAGAGAGAGAGAGAGTTTTATTTTTTTGTTATTTTTAATATTTTCATAAGTTTTGGATACATTTGCATTTTTTTAAAAGTTGAGGACTATGATTGTAATTAGTTCTTTATTTTTCTTTTTTTCTCTTTTTCGTTTTACTTATATATGAGGGTATAATGGTCAGTTTATGTGAAAAATAGAGAAAAAAGACGTTTTGCGCAAAAAAAGTGAAAGGTAGGGACGTTCTGCACCAAGAAACGAAAGGTAGGGACGTTTTCCACAAGGACAGGCAAAGGTAGGGACGTTTTGCGTCAATTACCCTTTTTTTTCCAAAAATGTGCATCAAACGGGAGCTTTATTGTTATGAAACAATCATGCTACTTGTATAAAGTAAGTTGACAATTTTGATTTACAAATTATGTGTTGGTAACATTTAGGTCAATCAATTTAAAATCAGTTTTTAAAATTAATAAAAATCAATGGTTTAAATCTTACCACGCTTATTTTGTCAAAAAATTTGGTACAACTTGATTAATTGTTGATGATGAAAATGCATTCTGAAATGGATCTTGTTGCATATATATCTAGATTTATATGATGTCATGTGACACTCTATCATTTGTTAGTTTAAAACACGATCAACTTTTTCACTCAATATTTTCTCTCAACATCATATTATGTAATCCATTATATACATTTTTTATGTACAAATAACAAAATTCTTCTGTAATAGTGTTTTGATGGAGGATATGTGGTTAAAAAATAAGGAACAAATTTGAATTTGCGTGTAATATTATTTTATTGCAAAATGTGTAGTTGAAGATTAAAGAGAAAAATACATTTTGAAAATAATGAGGATCAAACAAGGTGAAATCTCGATTTTAGACGCATGTTATTTTTTTGAATTATGTCATGTTTGATATTCTCAATCACAAATTCATTCAATAAAATATTTTGTTCGTAAACTTAAAATTTTTCTTTACCTTTTGGCTGTACATTCTACAAAAATTCACTATTCAAAACGTTGTTTTTGAAAAATGTATAGTTGAAAATTAGAGAGAAAAATGTATTTTGAAAATAATGAAGATCAAACAAGATGAAATCTCAATTTTAGACGGATGCTATTTTTTTGAATTATGCCATGTTTGATATTCTCAACCACAAATTCATTCAATAAAATATTTTGTTCATAAATTTAAAATTTTTCCTTATCTTTTAACCGCACATTCTCCAAAATTAACTATTCAAAACATTATTTTTGATAAATAATGGCCATTGAATAAGGGTTGTGTTATTTGTATCGATGGTGTAAGAATACTTGTTTAAATAGTATCGGGCAACATTCAATGACAAATTAAATTAATTAATTCTTATTTTACATTTAATTAGATCTATCATCTAATGACTCGTAAGATGATATTGTAACGTCATTATAGCTATATAGCATTATTCAATTTTATTTATTTATTTATTTATTTATTTTTGGGAATAGGTAGTAAATAATTTGTGGTTGTCTTATGCACAATTGGCATTAAAGTCCCTGATTGACAAAGTAGATTTCCGTGGAAAGAATGAGTTTTTTAATAGTAAATTTTGGGAGCGGTTAAAAAAATGAAAAGAATTTGAGTTTACGTAAAAAATATTTTATTGTGAAAATGTTGTTTGAAAATGAGTATGAGAAACGATGGCTAAATTTGAGTATGAGAAAGTATGAAAAAAATAAAAAATAAAAAGAATGATTGTCAAACGAGAGTTAAATTTGACTAACAACTTTTTGATTAATGTTGCTTTTAAAAATATGAACAATAAGTTGCAGTCATACGAAATATGTAAATAAAGTTCTGTTTATTTGGAAATGAAAATAATATTGTACGTAACCCAAAAAATTTTCTTTCATTTTTAATCATATATTTTTCATCAATCTATTATTTCAAAATTCATTATACTCGAATAAATGGTCAAACATGCCATAATTTTTTTAAATTAGAAGTTATGCAAACTCCAAACATGCTAAAAATATTTTGCATACCTTCTATACATTAATGCATGATAGTTTACAATTTTAACTATTGGAGACAAATCCAAGAGAGCAAGCGTGGCCTGACGTGTGACGAGGTAATTGAGGCCATAAATTCTGGTTTTTAAAAAATAAAAAAATTTGGATGCTAAAATTTCAACTAAGCCCCTGTTTGCTAATTGATTAAAATTAATATTATAATTTAAGTCAAAATTAATAATTAATTTTAACCACACGTTTCATAAGATTCACAACTTTTCAATCAAATATTTTATCAACTTTTATCAAAATTTATTAAAAATTTAATTTTAATCTTCATCAAACAAGAGGTTCGTGGTAATGGTGTTACAAAGCATGAACAGAAATATAGCATGGGTACTAGATAAAACTTGATAACCTGATTTGCATATCGCATTCCTTTTGACATCAAGTCTTCCATTGCAGCTAGCCATATACGCTGTCCTCTGAACTGCAACCCTGCAGCCTGCGAAAAATATAATAATGAGTTCTTTTCATTAGTATGCTTGAGTATCTTCAACTACTAGTTTAGTAGGTTTTTAGTCTCTACTAGTTGAAACTTGAATTTCATAACTAGTTTCCTTTAATTATTGATTGTACTTGAATACTATATCTTTTTCTTACTACTTTGGAACGACATTCTTCTTAATTTTTTTCACAAACAAAGACAGAAGCATCACTTCACATTCTTCCATAAATCGACCACCCAATAAAACTGAGGAGATTAAAGATAATCATAGAAGAAGATTGATACCAGCATTATAGCTATTTGACTACAAATCATTTTATCAAAGAAGAAGCCTGTTTTGCACCTTCAAAAACTTAATTTGACATCGAAGTAAAGAAATCTTAATAGTGCTTGAAAAATTAACCCAAGATAGACTAAAAGAAAATAAAATTAGGGGGATGCAATAAACCTTATTTTCACTGTCCCCAGAAAAGGAGGCGCCATCACAGTACCGGATTTTTACTCTATTCCAGTTAAAGAAATCTGCATGTGGAATATCAAATATAAAAATAATATTTGTAACGGGCAAGTTGAAACGTGAGAAGACAGGTTCCAATGTTTCTAACAGAATTTGACCAGGTATCTTTGCGAACTGACCTGGATTTTCTTGAGCTTTATTGCTAAGGATCCCTGTAAATGGAATTATCTTCTCAAAATATGTCGAGGACCCACGGCGAGTCTTTTTCCTGTAAGCACAGGCCCTAATGTTGTTACACCACCCTCCACCCTGCCACAAAGTGTCACAAGATAAAGTTTGTTGACTGATAAAACCATTACTAAAGCTTGAAAGCTCTGCAGGACAGAGTATATAAACAAGTACGGTATACAACTTTATTGAGAATTTGAGATAGGAAAAACTTCGATGAGACTCCATTCAAGAAATTGATCTCACCTTATTTTGGTAGATTTCGTGAAGGACTTTTTCTAACAGAATCATCGTATAAGGAGAAATCAGTCGATGAAATGTAACACGGCTCTGAATAAGTTAAATTGTTTTGTTCGATCATTACTTGTAAACTTCTTAGAAGTTTGATAGAGAACTGCACTTCCAAAAAGGTATCTGGCTCTTCATAGTTTCTTAAATGATCGATATGTGCAATTAAATTCAAGTTTGCTTCCAAAAAGTAAAATTAGCATGAACTTCTGCCAGGGACAAAAAATAAATCCATAACTAAATGTAGCTCAGATTATTTGAAATCAACTGAATTATTGAGAATTTTAATTTCTACTGGCTTCACGATTTCAAATCAACTTCCTTTTTAATAAGTAGAAACAAGTTCGCAAATTAAAGATATATTAAAATAATCTAAAAATCTGTTGAAGCTATAGTTTGATATGGACCATCTACTGGTGAGATTTAAGAACCAAATAATTTCAACCTAACGTCCATATTTTATGTTCTGTATATATAATGAAATCCCTCTCTAATATTCACCAAAATAAAGGATTCTGAAAGCGAACAAAAGCAACCAAGTAAATGCTATCATTCACATAATTGTCTCCCAAACCTCCAGTTGGATGAGCCAGCTGTTTGCCCCTGTCCCGAACCCGCGATGGAAGTGATAGCCAGGTAATGTTCCATCCAAACATACTGCCAAAAAGTATCAGAAAAGAGACATCAAAATTAAAGAACCAATGAATGTTAATTCAAGTGTCAACGCATGTATGTACGAGTATCTGCCAATTGCCAAGAACAATTGAATTGTGGGGTAGTTCTCCCTGATAAATTCTATGATCCAAAACCTTGAATTTTTTTCCAGTGAAAGATAAATTTACCTACAATGACTATTGGCTAACAATACTGATTGATGAGATTAATTTAGCCCATGTTTGACATCCATTCTATTTCTCTTTTTTTTCTCTTTCTTTAATTCAACCACACATTCTATCAATAAAATAATATTTCATATAAACCTAAAAATTCTCCTTACTTTTTAACCATACATTCTTCCATCAATCACTAATCCAAAATCTATTATTTCCCAAAAATGGGTCTCAAACACAAGCTAAATTAGTACACCTGTATAGATGTAGACATGAAAGATGCAGAGTAACAGCATAGCAACACAACAAAGCATCTCAAACAAACCATTGAATAATCACACATTAAACAAGTGGGAAATTGACATATAGAAAGTAGCAAACTTAATTATATAACACAAAAATAAAAAATAAATCATTTAAAACAAGAAAATTGGAAGACAAATACAAGGTTTAAATTCCAGTACAACCATAAAAATGAAAAAAGAATCATGAGTGGATTGGAAAATTCCCAAACTAGATTACATAACATACAGAGGAGCATTAATCAAATTAAAACAATAAATTTAGTATAATGACGCTAAAAAATGGGGAGAAAAACTAAAATGCAAGAATCTAGAGAGAGATTTGGATTAATACCAGCGCCTTTAGCAGCAGCTCCTTGAATAAGTGTAAGAGGCACCGTGAGAGCATAAGGAGGGGCACCTGCAGCTGAAACTCCATACACGGACTCCAACAAGGACATGGATTCCAAGAATGAAACTTCTGTTCTATTATCGAAAAGCTCATCAAATTCAAAGCTTTTAACAACCCATTTGCTTAGGAAAAAACCAAAAAATATTACACCCCAAAAACCCATAAACTTCCCCATGGCCTCTCAGTTTCAAGCTCCTCCGCCAAATATAGGGGAAAAATCAAATCAACACAACAAGAAGTTGTGTAAAGTAAAATATTATTATTTATTCTCACATGGATGCATGGGAAGAATGCTTATAGACACAATGTTGGTGTATTAAATAGTAATTAATTAAAGATCTAATTTAATTATCAAAATAAGGGAAAGATTTACAAAATTTAACAAATATGGAGTAGGGGACACAGATTTTGTAAATCTGGTTATGCTTGGGAATAGAGATTCCTTGAAGGAGGCTTTCGGTTTTTCCTTTTTTATTTGAAGATCTGAGGTGATTTCACACTCTGGAGATGAAGTGGTAAACAGTGGGTGTGTTTTGCCGGGCATTTTAAAGATTTTAATATTTGCATAATTGCATGCCTTGTATTTTGGGGTTTTGGCGTGGAGTGGGCCTGGAGGTCGAGATTCATGTACTCTCAATTATTGTTACAAGTTGAAAAGGTATTCCATAAAGAACATGTTTGAACTTCATTTTTTTTTAATGAAAGAATCATGGTATAATTGACAAATTTGATTTACAAACTAAACAATATTTGAAATCAATGAAAATTAATGGCCTAAATCTTACCACACTTATTCAGTCAACAAATTTTATACAACTTGATTAATTGTCGATGAAAATGCATTCTGAAATGGATCTTGTTACATATATATTCTAAATTTACATGATGTCACGTGACACTCTATCATTTGTTAGTTTAAAGTACAATCAACTTTTTCATCCAATATTTTCTCTTCACATCATATTATGTAATCCATTTTTCCGTATAATATTATTTTGGATTTGCATATAATATTATTTTATTGAAAAATGTATTTTAAAAATAATGAGGATCAAACAAGGTGAAATCTCGATTTTAGACGCATGTTATTTTTTTGAATTATGCCATGTTTGATATTCTCAACCACAAATTCATTCAATAAAATATTTTGTTCGTAAACTTAAAATTTTTCCTTACCTTGTAAAAGCATATTGTCCAAAAATCACTATTCAAAACATTATTTTTGATAAATAATAGCCATCAAATAAGGGTTGTGTTATTTTGTATCGATGGTGTAAGAAGACTTGTTTAAATAGTATCGGGTGACATTAAATGACAAATTAAATCAATTAATTATTTTATTTTACATTTAATTAGATCTATCATTTAATGACTCGTAATATGATATTGTATCATCATTATAGCTATATAGCATTGTTCAATTTTATTTTATTTTTTGGAATAGGTAGTAAATAATTTGTGGTTTTCTGGCATAAGTCCCTGATTGACAAAGTAGATTTCCGTGGAAATAATGAGTTTTTGAATAGTAAATTTTGGGAGAATTTGTGGTTTAAAGAATTAAAAAAAAAAAATTGAGTTTACGTCAATAATATTTTATTGTGAGAATGTTGATTGAAAATGAGCATGAGAAACAATGGCTAAATTTGAGTATGAGAAAGTATGAAAAAAAAAAAAGAATAGAAAATAATGATGATCAAACGAGAGTTAAATTTGACTAGGACCTGTTTGATTATCATTATTATAGAATGAGAATGAAAAATATAGTCGTTATTGGGCCCCACACAATATATAAAAAGTCAAAATTGATGGCTTGATGTGATGAATAACGGTCACATTTTTTAATTTTTATGGATGAAAAATGAGAAATAAACAGATTCTAATAATTGTTTGATTAATGTTGCTTTTAAAAAGTGGGTCTTACAAATATATGAACAATAAGTCGCAGTCATACGAAATATGTAAATAAAGTTGTGTTTATTTGGAATGAAAATAATATTTGTACGTAACCCAATTTTTTTTTTTTTCATTTTTAACCACATATTTTTCATCAATCTATTATTTTAAAATGCATTCTACTCAAATAAATGGTCAAACATGCCATAATTTTTTTAAATTAGAAGTTATGCAACGCCAAACATGCTAAAAATATTTTGCATACCTTCTATACATTAATGCATAATAGTTTACAATTTTAACTATTGGAGACAAATCCAAGAGAGCAAGCGTGGCCTGACGTGTGACGAGGTAATTGAGGCCATAAATTCTGGTTTTTAAAAAAGAAAATAAAAAATAAAAAAATTTTGGATGCTAAAAATTACAATATTTACTAAATTTCAACTAAGCCCCTGTTTGCTAATTGATTAAAATTAATATTATAATTTAAGTCAAAATCAATAATTAATTTTAACCACACGTTTCGTAGGATCCACAACTTTTCAATCATATATTTTATCAAAATTTATTAAAAATTTAATTTTAATCTTCATGAAACAAGAGGTTCGTGGTAATGGTGTAGTAACAAGGTTAGATATTTTATCATTTATTTTAGCACTTGAAATAAACTTTTCAATTCGCAATCTTCCAAAAATATATTTTGTCCTTTTAATATAATCTTTATAGAAATTAATTTTCTCAAATGAGAAACAAAATCAATTTTTTCTAAGGGTTTTCAATTTCAATTTTGAAATAAGAGAATTTTTCATTTTTTCTTAACAACAAATCTTGTTAAAATTTAGTTCAATGCACGACCATTTTAATAAAAAAGTTGTGAAAAATATTCGAGAAGACTTTGCACCTTATTACAATGTTTTTTTTTTTTTTGCAGAATGTACAAAAAGTTATTTACGTTTACTTTCATAATTATATTTATGGGCAATTATGACGATCTGAACAGGCGATAAAACCATTGATGGATGAGAATTCAAAAATTCCACATGTCAAGACATTCGTTTATGTCGAGCTGATGTGCCTATCTCCTAAGATGCTCAAGAAAACTCGAGTTGACAAATAATTTGTCAATTATAAACATCTCATCTAGGAAGGCTTTAGCTCCCGTGCCTCTATATTTGAAGGATAAAGCTGTTGTACACCAGGTGTAGGTACACCCGTCTCGCATGAATAGTGTGCGTGAATATTTTATTGCATGTAGGACCTCCCTCCGTGTGAGTGAGTGTAAAAAATCGTGTGAATGATTATGTACATGCAGCATGATTGATACTTGAAATTCATCAAGGAGGCATTATAAAAAAAGAAGCTCGAGGAATGCAAGACCGTGGCTAAAACGAAGAGTGAAGTGCTATGTTGCAAAATAAGTCGTCTCCAAAATTTAAAAAAATTCAATGAATCGCATAATATCATGCACAATTGGAAAATTGTGTTCGTGGTTTGTGTGCATAAGTTAAAATAATAATTTTTTGTTGTCCATAGATGACTTGGTTTAAGGAGGTGAATGCACTATTCTAAGCAATCAATCAAACGTCCTCAAGGCATTGTTGATGACATGCTATCATCAAAGTGCAAAAATTTATATTCGTGATAGACTTAATTGTTTTGAATTGAAGAAGGCCTTGATATGTCGGTGATTCTTGATTGACCATTTTTAGCAATGAGTCGAGCACTAACTCATAATGAGAAAGACATGCTACTTTTGATGTTGCAAGATGAACGAACCACGTTCAATTTGTTTGCATCACCCATGCAACTATCGAACATTGATATATGCTTTGAATTGACGAAAGGTTTAAAGTCTGGGCAGAATGATTGCAATGTCAAAGTAGAGGTAAGTAGTGTGGTTGGAATATAAGAAAATGGAAAGGACCAATTTAAATTTTAGACTAGAAGAGAGAATTTTACGACGCTGGCAATAGTAAAAAATGGCAATACATTCGAGTATTCATTCGAGCCATCTTATTTTGAAGCAATACAATTCTCTACGCCTTTCATTTATTTCTTTGGATTTGGTGAAAATTAGGTTCGAATATTTCGATTCTTAGTCCAATATTTGGTTTTCGCATTTTTCATGCATTTTCGGCTCATTTAGTTAATGAGTAGAAATAAGTTCGATTTTATTCAAGAGATCATCGAATAATTTTTGGTATCGATAGTTAACATGGACATTTGTAATTGCAAGCGAACCGTACACCATTTTATTATCTGAAAAATGACAACAGGAAAAAATAATCTAATAAAAAATTTAGTGTTGTACGGTAAAAGCAAAAACTTCGCTAATATTGTACTCTATCAATTTTTCAATTTTAATGGCACCTTTTATGAAATTCGTAAAACTTTTTCCGTTTATCAATCACATTTTATCATTTTTGTCGACGATATTTTAATTAAATTTTTCGTTATATCAAATAATGACATGGCACGGGAAAGTGACATTTCCGTAAATATCTTCGTGTTCGTGCTTCTAATTGTTTGTCGGTGGAATTTGGATGGGATACAGCTTAAAAGATGTATTTTTGTGCACAACCTAACGAATGGTGGATCACCCATCCAACACGGGGTCTTGTCTTTTTGTCTAGGAACCGCGTGTGTTTTGCTGCGGTGCTCCTTATGCCCGCTTTTAAATTCACGATCTTGAGCAACGTCGCAATTAATGTTTTTGGATAGACAGTGATGGGTTTGCTCGACATGCTTTTTTCCACCGTTTAAACTAACGACAATGATAATAACTTGACGGAAGACTAATTAATTGCCGTGGTATCTCGACCATACGATACGGTGACGTGGAATGAGTCAATCTCATACATACATTAATTTTTTTCGTTTGAAATTGACAATAAAATTCGTTTTTAGCATACGTCACAATCATAGATTAAAAAAATGTTAATTAAATATTTGACAAATTTAATTAATTGTTTGTGGGGTACAAAATTCCTTAATAGACATTTTTACCTCATAAGTACTAAAACTAGAAACAATTACACGAAGGATCAGTTTAATATGACTATTGACATATGATTGAATTCACAGTACGAATTTAAGATTTTGAGGTTTAGCTCGACATAGAGATGAAAATAGGTCGAGCGGCTCGTTAGCTCGTGAAAACATTAGCTGCGAGCCGCAAGTGAGCTCGAAGAGCCGAGCCTCTTGAAAAATGAAAGAAAAATTTTAAAAAAGAGCGAAAGAAAAAAAAAATTCAAAAAGCTCGTGGGCTCATGGCAAGCCTCG